AAATAAGATATAGTAATATTTTCTATTTGAATATTAACATAAAACATGTATTTATAAGTATTTACAAATCCAACATTTTTTTCTTCTAATTACATTAATTTATATATTTTGTTAAAGATCAACCTACCAAAAATATTAAAATTACCTATTTTTAATGAATTATCATATTTCTCTATTACTTACAATAAATGTATATATCTTCTAGGATTTCAAACTTATTTGTTATTATATAATCACAATTTATATGTCCTTGGTGATTTCAATTTGAGTAAAATAAACTTTTTGCCTTGTATAATTTTCCAAAAAGAGCTTAAAGATCCAAAACTGGAAGGTGGAAGAACTATGATACCTGACTTAATGATTATATTTAAATATTTTTTATATATTTTAAAAATATATTTCATGAAACTTCATAAAAAAAATTTTTGAATTTAACTTTAAATATAAGAAATTAATCTCACAAATACTTATATTTTCAAAATTTGTCAAATTTTGTGAAAAAAAATTTATATTTCTTGTAACTTTAATAAAAAACTTTAAACATATATTATTGCTTGTATTATACTTTAAATTTTTATATAAAATAACAAAGGTATATTTAGTTAATTAGTTAATTAACATTTAGTTAATTTAGTTATTTAACAAATGATCTTGATTGTTATATTAAATGATCAAGAGTAAAAAATAATAAATAGTTTATCTTAAAGTATTTTAGTGTATTCCAATAATTTTATTTTTTCCTTTATTCTATATAAAAATTTGTAATGAGATATAATAATTCATCTTATATACATAAATATTGCACATTCTTTTTTAAAGATTTTATATTTCTTTTACAAAATTTATTAAACTGATATAATTAAATATTATACGATAAATTTTTTCAAATATTATTCATGTTTTTTTACACTATAATATATTTTAAATATGAAGATTACAAAATATTATATATTGCTTATACTCCATGAAATATATGTAACAATAGAGTATAATATAAACAAAGTATAACATTTATAAGACAAAAATTAATAAAAATAAAAATAAAATAATATATTATCTTTTATTATGTATTAAACATGAAAAATTAAATTTTTATTTATATATAAAATATANTATTATAAATGTTTTATTTTTATTATTGTATTATTTTTTTTATTATTAAAATATTTATAATTATTGTATATAATGTAAAATATATATAAATTGTAAAATGTAAGTATTAAATTATTTATATATAAAGTATTAATATTTTTAAATTTTTTTATCTTACCTATATCAACTAATGGTGGTTTATCACGTCCTCGACGATAACATAAATAACATTCATTTGTTCTTAGACTTCCATGATTTAAATCAGCAGGTAAACCTGAAACAGTATGTTCTAACAAAACATACCCTTCTGGACATTTTTCACCCAATGCAGGAAATATGATAGCAAGATCAGTAATTGGAGGTTTCATATTAATATCTTTTACATGTGTTCCTTCTTGATACCAATCTTCTAATTGGTCATTATTTTCATTATCATTATCAAAATCATTGTCTTGTCCAGGTAAACCAGCAATAACAAAATAATCTGCTACCCTCCTTTCATCCATGATTATCTAAATATTAAAATACAATATATAATATAATTTATTATATATATAATATAATATAATTTTATTATAGAATAAATTTACCAACTTTAAACAACAAAGCTTTTCACATGTCATTGAAAAAATCTTTTCTTATCTTTTTTTATGTATTTTAAAATTATTTCCTTTGATAGTCATTAAAAATATCATTCTGATAATAATCATTATTTTCCAAAAACATCCTATAAATTTATAGAATTAATTATTAATATATTACTAATATTCATTAAAAAAATATTTTTTTGTAAATTACCTTTTGGATAATATATAAATTCTAATCATTTAGTTTTTTAACTATATCTTTGTTTCAAACTTTCCAAGGTTATCACTTAATACAATAATAAAATTTAAATTTTGAAAAAAATACGGATATATTTGTTCATATATTTACAATATTCATAATTATTCTGCTAAAAACGTATTCTCTAGAAATGTAGAATTACATACATGCTAATTTAAATTACATGAGTTTTCTTATAAATGCAAAAAGTTATGAAATAAATGATCATGTTTTTTTAAAGTCAATAAAAAAATTCAGAAATAAATAATAAGTCATAAAAATTAAAACAATACTTCTAATATTTATAAGTTTTCACAAATATTTTATATAATAATCACAACAAAACTTTTTCCACAAGTCGTTTTGAAAGTTAAATATTTCTAGGTTATGTGTCATACCAACTATCTTATATGCGTTTACTCTAATCACGAGTGACGTTATTGAAATGTGACGCAAATTTTCTATTGAAAACTAAATTTTTTTTATATATTTTTTACTTTTTTGTTTCTTTAAATAAATATAACAAATGATTTCATAGAAAATTACAAAAGAAAAGATATGTGTAGATATAAGATTTGCTTATTAATAATATATGTATCAATTTTTTAAATTAT